GCTCTCCTCAAGAAACTAGATTGAGACTATTTAGTTATTTCATGAAGCCCTGAGACAACAGATTATTCATCAGTTGTGACCTGGGCTGAATTCTAATAGGTATCACAGGTTAGATGCTCCATATGCTAGAAGCAATGCCTCCAGCTATATGCCTTACAATTTGCTTATTTTTCCTCTTGTCAAAAGACAGAAAAACTCTAACTGTTGTTCAAACCCTTCAAAAGAAAGGGTTTTAAACTACTGATATGTGAAACATTTCATTTGTAAGCATTCTAGATTTGCAAAACTGCTGAATAGATGTTTTGTGCACTAGCAGTGATTAAGAGCATAGCTACGTCAATGGCATTTCGTGTTTTGTTTTTTTTTCTGGTCCGGATGCCAACGAACAGCATGCATCTTCCTTGCAACAAGCTGTTGCAAGATTTTTGCCTCCGGAGAAGCCAAGGGGGAAATATTGATAGATGTGTTAAAATAATCTTTCTAGACAGGGGGACCATATTCATTTTACCAGGATATAATCCCTGTTCCTGTTTCACAATTATTTTAGGGTATCTGTAAAACTTCAACAAAAAATACAATGTTACAAATTCATTTTCATATGGTAGTCTTCTCTCCCTCAAATAATGTTTGAAAAGACTCCATGCGGTATAACACACCAATAGTGATGGTCAATGGAGCAAGCATGTGGAATAGCTCAATCCCAAGCAAAAGGTTTTTCCAAATTCTTGTTTAAAACAAGATCTGTCCGATCAGCTTGTCTTACTGCAGCCACTTCTGGAAACAGTTCAACTCTTAGGCTTCACCTTTCATAAGGCATTAAAGAAACCATTGCTCCTATTCAGATTTTTGCATTAAAATGTCCTTTCCGACTATGATATACTATTGCTCAGTTTTTTCTTCTCTCAGCATTTTCGTCAGTCTAGTCTATCCATACATTGACTACTAAAATGCACACCAAGGCAAGATTTCCTGTTACAGCTCTCTCCGGGCATCCCATTCCCCTCTTGCTTCTTTTTACGTGGAGCGCTAGCTGTAATTCTGTAATTCTGATGGGTCCTGGATCAGCCAGCTAGCTGATCAATACAGAGGGGGAAGACCTCCAGGTTTGCAGAGAGTAGAGTTGGTCACTGAATGGAACAAATCCATTGCCTCATATAATTTCCAGAATTAAAAATGTGGGACTTTTAATCAGAGGAGGGTGCTGACCACCAGTCAGCATAAGTTAAGATAACTGGCAATAACATTCCTACGTGAGAGTATCCACACATGGATTTCTTCCTGGAAATTATAACTCCAGCTGTATCCAAGCTCCTTGGTGAAAGAAAACATCAACACAATTCTAATAAAACCGACAATGATGCTTAACAGAGTGAAAATAAGCTTGTTCAGAAAGTAAATGTAACATCTTAAAAGTGCAAGTCAAAATACTGATCTATGTGAAAAAATACTTTTACATATTTCTAAAGATGTCATTTGCTATTTGTTATTAGTATAGTGTACCCTTCTCTTCTATACAGATGAAAATTGCTGCAGAGGTTTAAAAAGAATATAATCTATTAACTTGTACAAAATCTGCTTGTCCATCATAGGTTAAAGGATTCTTGGCCTATCAGCAATCTTCCACAGAACTCTTAATATTAAAAATTTTTGCTGCTTACACCGCAAGGGAGAAAGAGCTGACAAAAGCCTTTGGCCAGTGAGATCAAAATTGGGGAGGGGGGGGGAGGGAAAAAGGGGAGCTTATTTACATTTTTGCTTTGTTAGTAAACTGTAATGGTTAGAGCAGGAGGGGGAAAAAAAAAAAAACGGCAGAAAAGTGAAATTAACAGCCACTAAATCTTCTGGCAACAGCAGTGCATTTTGATGATGTGCTGCGTCAGCTTCCACTAATGGTTTAGGGTTCAATCAGGCACAGTTCAAGACCCAAAAGCAGTGCAGGGCATCACATCTCATTCTTTGGAAGAACACGTACCCTAATTATGAAGATGGCTACAAAAAGAAGAGATCAGGATTTCTGGCAAAGCAGAATAATGATGTACTTAACAGGAAATCAGAATGCCACTTTGAATCCCTAAAAATCATAAAAGAGTAGGATTTCAGTCCTGTAATGAATGTGCGTCTGAACGAGAAGTGTTACCATTTTGAGAGAAACCTCTTTTTCCGAACAAAACCCGCCAAAGTTGCTTTTTCTGCTCTTAGGGGTTAATCTCCCTGCTCTATTCCAGCAATGCGAATGGAAACAAAGGCTGTATATGTGTGTGCCACTTACCACACGAAATATCCGTCCAGTATTTCAGAGAGCACAGGAAGGAAATGCCCACTGAGCTAGGGATGTGCCAACGTCAGTGCTGCCTGTGCCAGTCCGCTCCCGTCAAATTCGCGGCGTGCGGCAGAAAGCAATGCGGGGCGGCGGGCTTGCGGTGGGGTGGGGAGACAGCTTAAACCGGCAGTGGGAGAGAATCAGCCATTTGGGAGGTTTAATAGGGGGCTGTTTGTTTGTCTGCCCTTTTGATGTTAAATTAGTCGTCAATTTTGTCGCAAGGAAGGAGGCATCGGGAAAAGGATGCTTCTCTTCCAGTAAACCCTGGGAAAGCAACACCTTTATTTTAACGGCCTTCCCACCAAGAACCCCCTGCAACATTTTGGCTTTCCCTAGCCATAGCTATCAGCAACACAACAGCTGCTCATTTTACAATGACTTGCTGGAGAGAGAATGATTGAAAGAGCCAATCTATGTCACATGGAGAAGCTGTGGCACAACATTGCAGGAGGTAATAGGAGAGGAATGAGGTCAGAACAAACAAGGGTAGGGTGAGAACAGAGAGGAAAATAGCAGCAAACAAAATTATTAAAAGCAAGATGCTGTACTACACAATCTACGCTTAAAAACGGCCACAACCTGAACGCTGCAAACAGCCGCAGAAATGCAAACGAGCTCTGTGTTACTTTTTCATCAGGTCTCGTGAATATGGCTGATCAAAAAAGCTACCAAAGTCCTCACAGCAAAGCACAATGGTGGGAATACACTTAGGTGAAGGCACAGTCTAATTCATGTGGCCTGAAAGCCCCAGCACCTGGTGGTGTCCCACTAGTCGCAGGGTTTTCAATAGCAGCCTTGCTCGTGTCATTTTGTAGCTTGAGAAACGCAGCAGCAGCAACGCTACTGCAGCTGCCCGGCTCCCCTCTGGAGCACGCTGCGTCAGCTCACGCCTGGGAGTTCACCTTTAGCAAAAAGAGCTGCAAAGACCGGGAGCTTGCCCACACCAGGGAACCAGTGGCCAGCGATTTTGATTTAGCGCCATTCATAAAAATCCTTCCTGAGGAAGAGTTGTTCTTGTGTTACCGCAGCAGACCAGAAAACCACCACGCAAAATGGTGGCACGGTCTGTATGAAGAGGTAATACTTTTCACTACGCCAGTCACAAAAATGAGCTTTTGGGCTCAGCTGAAGTGATGAAGCGATTCTGACCCTGACCTTTGGGCACACACCTCTTCTATTTTTACCCCACTGAGATCAATTGGTTTCATAAAAGTTATTACTTTCCC